GCCATGTTGGGTAAACTACCTTTTTATATCTGCTCTCTGATCTCTCGACGAATTGAAAGTACTTATTGCCTGAGATCTCATGATGTTGTTTTATTAAATGTGCCAAGTGCTAGGACTGTCTTAGGGAAGAAAGCTTTTAGTTGTGCAGCTCCACTAACTTAGAACAGTCTGCAAACATGTTTAAAACTGAGCACTTTGGTTCCCCTGCATCATTTTAAAACTCGGCTGGGTGACATGCTGTTTGATACTCATGGTACCTGTCTCTGTAAATAGAGTTTGTAAACTGTACCCTGTACATTATGTTGTTTGTCATCCTTATTGTTGTTCTGTTGTTTTTATGTTACATGTGTAACTAATGTCCTGCAGGTCACCCTTGAAAAAGAGATCTTTTGATCTCAAGGGGCTTTCACCTGGTTAAATAAAGGCTACAAACAAACAATATTTCCCTATTAATATCATATATAAAGCTGGAACAATGGAACAGTATTTTTTTTACTAGAAATTACTCAACAATTGATCGACCGATAATATAATGCTTCAGTTCCAAAATGCTGCAAAACCATCTTCCAATATTACTTCCTATGAATTATTGACAGTGATTTGTATGTATGCTTTATAACGTCAATATGTACTTACTACAAATGTTTACGTTATACGTGGGCACCCAGCACCTTCAGTATATTTGTAATACACACTTCTGTTCTGCCTATTATACACCATATTTTAAATCAACACTTAAAACTCACTTTTTATCTCTGGCTTTTGTTTAATTATTTATTCATTTAGTTCTTTATTTTAATATTTATAACATAACATAGGATTTCATAAAAGTATTTTTAAAATAGTTTATACATTATTCGAATATAGGAATAGTAGTTTCCCTCTGCTGGTCTATGGCCTTGTAGAGGGTAACGGGGTACAGAGTCGCTTATGGCGCATTTCCACTGCAGGCCTCGCTCGGTTTGGTTAGGCCTTATTAGGCCCGGCTCACTTTAATGCTGCGCTTCCATTACAGTTTAGGAACTGGGGCAGTTACTATAGTAACGCAGTGTAGGCGGTGCCGTGACGTCATCTTCAATGAGCGCCCCAAAAAAAACCATAGCCGTTAGCTGTTAGCACTCAGAGCTCTTCATATCTGTTCAGAAACTAGACAAAAGTTAAACAAGTACAAACCACAGACTGTCTGTGTCATGGCGAATACAGTCGCTGGTTTATTTATGTCTGTAGGCCATTGTTATGAGTGTGGACGGTCGGAGCATATATAACGTTAGCTTAGCCAAGCTCCATTTAGAAAACACGCATTTTAAAAAGGGTTTTTCACCTGCCGTCTGTCTGCAGACTTGTCAAAGCATTAATTCATGGTTTTTACTAACTTTATCAGTATGTTGTTTCTTCGGCATCATTTTGAAACGTGTATTACAATTAAATCACGGTCAAATATGTTCATCTTGTTGTAGTTGTAGCCCCCTTGCCAGCGATTCTCTCTCTAGTTTAGCATACTCAGCCCGACTCAGCCTGGTTGTTCCTGGCCCTAGAACCACGATTTAGTCGGGCCAGAAAAAAGTAGCCCCGGGCCAAAACTAGGCCAAGTGGAAGCGCAACCAAAAACGGGCCCTGCACGGCTCGGCACGCTTAAAGCGAGCTACCCGCTGCAGTGGAAACGCGCCATTAGATAAGCGGGGGAGTGCATCTGACGAAGAGATAGGTTGTTGTGCTCCCTATCTCTGTTTCTTATCCTATATCTAATAGAACTGCTCGGGTCTTGATAGATTGAGTGGGGAAGTTCATGAGATCTTTCTAGAGGGTTATCAAGAATAACTTTTATCCAATGACCTTTTCCCTCTCTGTCTGTGTCTGTGTATTCTCTTGATCCGATTAACCCAGCCAAATCTTTTTTTGTATCTATATCTACGCCGGGATCCGGAATCGAGGCTGATCCTCTTGCTGTAGTCCTGTGTCTTGGATCCTCTATCCTGAGTTCTGGATTAAGTCGTGGACTTCGGGTCGTGGCTGAACCTGTCTCTGCGGTCCTGCCTTGGGTCTCGTCATGCTGCTTCCCTGAAGGCTCCCACAGGATTGTAGCTGACATCCTCGTGGATTCATCTTCTTATTACAGACACATGCATTTCCTAACATTCGGTCTATATGCTGTAAAATGTATTATCTCTTCGATTTACACACGGCATCTATTGCACGTCTGTCCGTCCTGGGAGAGGGATCCCTCCTCTGTTGCGCTCCCTGAAATTTCTCCCATTTTTTCCCCTTAAACTGTAAGTTTTCTCTGGAAGTTTTTCCTTGTACGATGTGAGGGTCTAAGGATAGAGGGTGTCGTTTTTCTCATACTGATATTCTGAACAATCTGTGCTGTTGTATTTGCTGTAAAGTGTCTCTACTGTAGGCTATTTTTATTATTTTTACAGCACTTTGGCTCGACCAAAAATCGTTTATAAATGTGCTATATAAATAAAACTTGATTCGATACACCATATGAACAACAAACCGTCCTCATTCAGGGCAATGGCCAGATACGATTATTCAATGAGCAGAAGATTTCAAATAACCCAGAAACGAAAGTCAGCCTATCCAATCCTTTAAAACGACGTGTCTGACACAATTATTACACAGAAAATCTATTCACCAGCAAAAAGCACAGACAGAACAGATTAATGGCAAACACTGTCTGCCAGAAAACACCAGAACATTCCTGCACAGACAGTTTAATACAACCGAGCTGTTGGAGCATCTGTGCAAATGAGGAAGCTTTCCAGAAACATTATGAGCAGAAAATGAAACTACCGGCGACAGTTCAAAAGCCCTTTCAGACAAAAGTGTGTATTTTTACTCGGTTTTGAATTATCAAAAAACACTCGTCTTACAGTGTGTCTTACAGTCCGGATGCAAAAGAAAAATAATAAATACTTGTATTCGACAACAATATTAAATGTCTGCCAAAACTGATAACAAGTGGCATTATTCAGTTTTGCTTGTAAAACCTATGATAAACATAAATATTTAATTATTCAAGCCAGTTTTCCCCTTTTCTGTCTCCGAGTGATCTCGCTGAGCCTTTGGAGGTGCCACAGATGTGATGGAACTGCCTCCGTAGCTAGCCGTTAGCCGCTAGCTCCCAATGAACACAAATAAACTAATACACCTTTTAAAACAACCACTGTGTACTTCAATGTTAGCCTCTAAACCAAGACACCAATATAGCACGTAAATTCAAAACAAACACGTAGGAAATATTTGGTCATAAAAGACAACACAGAGCGTCAGACACAGTTAGCTTTAGCATGCTAGCAGCTAGCTTCTGAGATGCTGTGAGTGAACCAGAGGAAGCGCTGTTAGCAAAGGGAAGCTAATCAGTCAATATCTTACCAGGTCAAAACAAACAGCACCGCGCAGCAAGATGCATTAATTTCTTGTTTGTTTTCTGTAGCCGATGTCTGGAGAGACGGTGACTTCGATGAAATCAGTTAAGACGGTGCAGAAATATCGTCGGGAACATTGCAAAGACACTCGATAATAATGTGGTTCCTGTTTTGTTTGCTCGGATGCCCGTTTGCAGGTCGTTGCTTAGCGAGTTGGTCTACACACCCTCAAGGGACGAACCTGCCAAATACTGGCCCCGCCTCTCTCACTAGCAACACAGCGGGGGACGGCTGCCAAATACTGACCCCGCCTTGCAGACAGCAGAAACGCAGACGGTGGCATTTATCAGACACAACATATGATAATTAAGTATCAAGCATTCATCTGTTTGCTTTTCACATGTGTATTTACTACTACATGTAAAGTTTGTTATGTAACATTCTGTTTGTAGCTCATTAGTATATTTGACATCTTCCTACGCATTTAGTATATTGGTCACGTGCAACATTCTCTTGCACACTATTTGTTATTATTTTATTGTTGATGTGTTGTTCATATTGCATTGTTAAATTAGCTTGGGACTAAACATTTGTATTGCCATAACGACACTGTAGCTACTGTGCACATGAAAACCAAACCTTTGAATCTTGAAAATAATTGTTTCTTTAATTATCTGTGATAATGATTTGTGTTGTCGTTATTGACTAGTTTAATCAACTCCATTTTTATGTCACAATGTATGTAGAGTAGGTAACCTAAAAAAGTGCGAGCAAGACCCCTTGTGATGATAAATGGTATTGACATATGTTATACATTCTATGAAAAAAATCGTTATCACGCCCAGAGGAAAAGCTTTTTATGGCAACCATTTTATAGGTATTGATTGACAGAGGGCATGGCATCATATTGATTCCAAATTTGTATTAACACCGAATTACCCCTATATTTGGATTAATAAAGGGGCTTCTTACCAATTATTTTAGAAGAACGCATACAGTTTATACACAATTGAACTTGTTTACATTTCTCAAAATTCTAATATAATCAGATAGAGATAATCTTCATCTCACCGTCTTCATCTGCAGACGAGTTTGCTCAGCTGCCATAGTGACATCAACATTTTAATATATTAAGATATCGCGAAAGTGTCTTTATGTCAGTCTTAAACACGCTTTGTGAGGCTTGGTTTTGGTTCAACTGAAGTGTGTACTTACCTGAACCCTTTTTTTAAAAAAAAATCAATATTTGTTTATATTGTGAAACTTCGCACCATTCTATGATTCAAGATTTGATCAATGCACAAATATCATTTATGATTGACTTTAGAAAATATTATTATTTTGCCTTTTTTTCCCCCAATATGAATTGGTGTCCTTTTTTGTATGGAAAGTGACTTTAGAATCTGTATGTTAATATGCACAATCATTCACTTTTAAATCCCAACGGCTGAAATGTTTATGCATAATAATACTGTTGCCTGCTGTTCAACAAAATATCGGTTGGTATTTGCCCCCACCTGGTGGACTGCTTGTCTCACAGCACTTGATGTTAAACATCTTCCTCCTCACACATCTGAAACAGAATTGTATGATTGTAAAAAGTTACTTCAGTGAATGAATGCAAACAGGAGCTGTTCTATAGACACTTTATTGCTCTGTTTATTGTTTTTACACTCAATATTTTCCCTTGGGTCAGACCAAACACTCCCCCTCCCAATTTCTGTTACCAAACCAAGTTTTAAATAGCAAAAACATAACTAATAATGCAGTAATACAATATACATGACACTATAAAGTCTTAAGGAGAAATCCTTCTCACTAACATATGGCTATACTGGTCCATTTACAAAATGCTTCTTTATATATTGTTCACATCAGATATAAAACAAGAGAAATGCACATTCTTTAAAATGTAAATAAAATGTGTTGTTTCTGTATATATGCAGATATATATTCGTGTGTGAATTCAGTTCCATGGCAACAAATCAACACCCAGCAGTCTATATAATAACCAAGTGTATCAACAGTTTACAGAATAATAACATGTTTCGATTGTTCAGATCTAATAAAAGAAATAAGATGTAAAAGAGTATGAACAGCAATGTAGGATTTTAAGAGACAGTTGTACTATATTTTGTGATTTTCTATAGATAAAATTACTAAAATGTATATAGAGGAGTATTTCAGACGCCTTCAAATGCTTTTTTTCATACCAGAATGACACAATGTAAAGCCTATTTTGAAGGATGAATTTGAACATATTCTGTATAGTGCTTGTTGTCAAAAGAAACCCCAAAATGAATCAATCCTACACAGTCGTGTCCGGGTATCCCCTGCCAGATATAGCTTATTTGTCAGAATTGCTTTTTTAGTATAATTATTAATGATATGATACGTTTTAAAAACAAATGTGTACTCCAACCCAGAGATTGTACTGTACAAATAAATGGCACACACATCTGATATTTGTATTTTCATCTACTGAAACTACACCCTGCCGGTTAGTAAGATAATATTTTACACAATGGGCGCCGAGGGTAGATCACCTCTATCTGACTGAACAATAGAAACGTCTGTATTATAGGTAACTGTACACTGACTGCCGCTCCTCTGCGAATACAGAGAATCACATTGAGAAAAGTTATGGCTACATTTTGACTAAAACCTCTTAAACGCCAGATCCTAAATGTTGGCTTTGTACAAATGTCCTACCTGTCATACTGAATACAGAGGATTTAAAAAAGCAACATTTGAAATACCCCCACTGTGTTTTCTTAAGGAAAGTTTTCCTGTTTCTTCAGAATTACACATTCTTAACTTTGTAAGAAACCTAAAATCAAATCCCTTTAAGTAACAACTGAACACAAATGGTGGAGTCTCGTCCACTTTTGGACAAGTTTAACTACAGTTGAAGAGACTGGAGTAGTGAGTGACTGTAACTACAGTGATGGCCGACTACAACGAGCCCAACACCATATGTATATAAGAACTAAGGATATCTCTTAATGTGCTTGACAGGTCTCAGGCAGAAGAGGAAAGAAGTACAGTTTGATTGTAGATAACATCTTGTACTCCGCAAAAACAGTCGTGGTGGTACTATCGTCTTTTCTTGTCTCACTTGATCCATGTGTGCTGGATGGCCGAGGGTTTAGGCTTCATACACCCTGAGGAAGAAACAAAACATAGTTATTTGTTGTGATGAAATACTCTTGATAAGTGTTTCCTTTAGCTTCCTTCTAGCATGCTCCATTAAGGTGTTTTCCTTTGGTCTCATTTCCTTGTTATTATGTTGTTGTGTATGTAGGTGGAAGAAAATGTTATTTCTACTCAATAAGATACAGCTAACCCTGACTTCTGACCTCCCTGTGATTGAGGAAAGGTGAGAGGAGATTGCACTTCAACTGGTCTGATTATATGAAACAAGGTCAAGGGTGCAGCATAGGCCAAGGAAGACACCATAAAAGTTTGAACCAGATTCTCAACAGGTGGAAGGTACACACATTATTTTCACAAACAGCCTTGGTGGAGTCTGCTATTTTGCAATCTGCAGTACATGCTGAATAGAGCTAAATACAACAGCCGGAAAGACAAATCAACATATTATAATTATAGGATGTAAAATAAAAATGCCAGGAATTAAAACTCAAGCATACAAAATATTGTATCTATTTTTGTCGTGAATTATGAGAGTTTTACCTGTGCTTGTCCTTCCAGATGCGGAACCACTTGACCAGATTCTTGGTGCTCTGAAGTTTGGGATGAAGACAGTACTCCTGCCCTTTGAACCGAGCCACGTTCTCCATCGTCACACTGAGAGGAAACAACAACCAACATATGTTAAAAAGAATACTATAAATATTATTATTAAAAAATATTAAAATAATGTTTAACCTTATGCATTTCCATTTCATTCAATGTAAGGTTCAAGAGGGCAAGATATTTATTTTTGTATTCATGTAAGCCTTCTTCAAAGGGAGCTTAACATCTCAAATAATAACACAATATTATACACCATTATTCTACTAATAACAGCCAAATGTCAAATATTCACTCATTAAACTGGAACAGCAATATATGCTTGCTACCGTAATAAGATAAGGTAATCCTTAATTTATAAGTGTCACAACAGGTACATTTGAATTGAATGAATAGTGCAACAATGAGAGAATAACAACATTATAATGAATTAGTAAACTGTTGAAAACCAAAATATATTGCAATAAACATCAAATCTAAATGTGTTCGCATGTCATGGAATTGCACAGGTTATGACATAAGTTATATGTTTAAGAAAAGAAAATGTGGAGATTAAACAATATAAATTTGAAATTCAGTGCAATCATTCGGCTACATAAGGTAGTTTTATCAGGCTGCATTATATGTTTGGAGTAATACATAACCATGTAATCTTAAACAGTCTGAGAGAAGTCTGAGTCCAGCTACAGGAGAAATGTTTTTGAATGAATTTCAAAGAACCAAATCAAGTAGAAATACAGATTTAAGGGGGTATTTAAATGATCTGAAAGGGAATCTGATTTATTTTGAATAGAGGCTATCAAAACGTAGCACATTTGACATGTTTTGCAGCAAATCTTAGATTCAATTGTAAATCGCCCTCAATAACATTCCCGCAGTTAAAAGCCCTCCCATTGAAAAGCACAGGGCCGACAGCCACTTGGCAAAGCAGTAATATTATGGAGCTGCCACTTAAAAATGTGACATCCAAGCTCATTGAATCAGTTGCTCTGCTAAAGGCAATGGTAGAGACAGTCTGCCCGCATGTGGCATATTCAGGCCAAACAAGTGAATTGTGGGAAAAACACCCAGCATGCCGTGGGGCCTCTCCATCCAGTGACACACTCAAAGGCTCGCCAAACCATGAATGCTTAATAAGTTGACTGGGGGAGAAAAGACTTGTCTCTAAATAAAAACACAGCATTCAGTGGTTATAAGGTTTTAAGTTAAAGAGTTTTGCATCTTTTCTCTTGCTCATTCAGTCCCTTTGTGTGGGTTTGAGGGGCAGCGGTACGTGCTTTGTTAGTGAAGAAATGTGCCTTGAGTGCATGAGAACATTAAAGTGCTTTTGCATGCCAATGGACTTATATCTGTAAGGCTGCAATAACAAACACACACAGGATGTTTATCCATAGAGAGGGGAAATGTAATCCTCATTACTGCTTTAGTTCCTCCTCATTGTCATTCACCTGGGTGGCTGACTGCAGACACTGGCTCTAATTTGGTCTGTGAAATGTTTCATAAGCACAGAGTCAGGAAGAGAAGGAAGGGAAAAAGCTAAAGGAGGTATTTAAGGGCAAAAGGGAAGAGAAAGAAAGTGATCTTTACTGGGGTATTTCCATTTTCTGCTACTTTAAACCACTACTTCACATTTAAAGGGGAAATAATCCATTTATTTTGAATCAAATGTATTAGACAGCTGCAACAAGTTACTTTGCTGTAACAAACATAAGCTTCATCTTCATAGCAACAACAAAAGTTATACATATATAATATAATATGTATACACTCATTGACTATCCTGCATAACTTTTATTGGATAAAAAGTGAATTTTGCTGATAATACTTTTACTTCTCTAGAGATTGAAGGGCTTGTTCTTGTAATGTTAATATCCGTTAATAATGTAAATAATAGAGGCATTATTAGAGAGGCAGCTAGAAAAACAAAGGGCACAATAACAAAAAAATGTGATAGGAAAAAGAAAAGATGGTGAATAATGTTTTGAAAGAAAAAAGGTAGTTAAAAGACTGATTGGAAAAGAGAAGAAAAGAGAAATTCGGAGAAAACAGGGATACTTTGTGGCTCCGGGCTTGTGTGCAGTTTGGGGAGAGGGCGCTCTGAATGCCAAACTGAGCTCAGAAAGCCAAATGGCCGCAGTAGAGGCCAGAGGGGGACTCGCTCGCTCGTTTATCTCCCGCTCTCTTTCTTTCTGGAGCTTTCCGGAGCCCGCTAAGGTTAGTTTTTCACCCATCTCATGCTAATAGAGGCCTTAAATACTGGCTGTGTCGTGGAACACACACACACACACACACACACACACACACACACACACACACACACACACACACACAACCACACACACACACACACACACACACACACACACACACACACACAATTCTTAGCACCGTTTTGTTAGCCCAACACAAGGATTACCCAAACTAAATGTTTGAATAGTCTCATAGTATAGTTTGACTAAGCACATATGTTTATTTATTTAAAAAAATGTATATTCATTTAAGAAATGATGTTATTTCAGGGCATAGACAACAAGATGAAATGTAGTTAAACTATAAATTTAAAAGCAGCAAATGAGAAGGAAGAAAACATAAATAATAATAATTATAATAAAATAATATTTAAAAATGAACATAGATTTATTGTCAATTGTAGAGTTAATATCTTAAACATTAGGAGTTAAGTCAGTGCTCAGTCTAAACATGTCATCATAAAGCCCAAACAAAGATTTCCTTCTCTTACGGGCTCATGGTGTTGACCTACATCCTTTCCTTGGACACTTATTTAAACATTATAATCCACTTTAATACATTACTCTAAACAAGTCTTCACTTTATAATGTAATGATGTACAGAAATTCATTTTTGTCCCTAAAACAAACCAAAACAAGATATATTTCACATTCTCAGAATACGGTTCTCAATGCTGTTGACCACATCGTGTTCTCTCTGTGGTTTTGTAACTTGCCAGCAGATGGCAGCAGAGTTTTGACATAACACGGTCTCCAGGGAGGCTGACATAACATCCCATCTGCAGTTCCTCCATGAAGCTTTGACATGAAACTTCAAATGAATCCCTCAAGGAAATGACAGTTCACATTTCTAGCTATGTTTGAGACTCAGCTCGCAGGAGATGAACCAAGATCATTGTAAACATGATATACTAGTATAGACTGTATATATAAATAATTGTAAAGGTTATTTATTCAAAGTTTTCTATCGGAGTGCCGCAGGGGGGTTTGAGTTTGAATCCCTCTGGAGGAAGAGAGCAAACAATCAAGCTGGTTAACGTTAACATTTAACATATTAGCTGTCTGTCTGCTACAGCTCTGATTGTATGGGTCAAAGGTCAGACAGCAGAGTGAGAGTATAGGGGTATGGATCAACAAATATGCTAAAACTGCACACTGACCCTGCCATTGAGATGCAATAATTCCAAGAAACAAAAATAGAGGGGAAGACAAGTGAACAAATACAATATTTTGGTCTTTATTTTATACTCGATATGGCACAATGTACCAAATAATCAGTTTTAAATAATGCTATTGTTGTTATTTTTATTTATACTGTTACTTACATTTCCATTATTATTTATATTCTAATTATTCTTGCAAAATCATACCTGTCCAATCCTGGATGTTTACTCTTACGTAATGAATAGAGGTTTATCATATTTTATCGTATCTCACCAAAGATGCATGTGTATGTGATGTATACATTGAACACAACATATGAGTAGTAGGATATAAACTGTTTGATATTCTATCATTAAATGCCTGGAAATTCCACTAAAGCTCGTATTAGATTGTCGTCTGTTTAAAGTTCTTGAAAGAGTTGTTTCTTTTCTCCCCACATTTCCAACGTATAAATACTTTCATGCTCCTGACAGCATGTGGATGTCTAAATCATCAGTTAGTCATCACACTGTTAATACTCCTAAGTGCTTTGAGCACAGGCGAGTGTTTTGATAAAGCCTGTACGGACGCCAAATATTCTTATGGCCTTTGCACAGTCACGGTTGTATACCTGGGAGTCAAACAGGTTCAAATACTGTGACATGTAAGTGCGTGCCAGCACAGGGAAGAAGATTTGGAAGAGAAAAGGTGGGAGGGGAGTAGAGAAAAACAAACATAGAGAAGATGGGTAGAAAGAGGTCATGAGCGTAGAAAAAAATCATATAAAGGACATGAAGGATAAAGAGAAGAAATAAAAGGAAATGATGAGAGAAAGAGCTTTACAGAAAGGAAGAATGAGAGAGTGAAAGAGATGAAATGTCTCACTCACAATATCATCTTCTCCTGGCAGAACGGGTGTTTGGGTTTGATCTCCAGCTTCTGCACATCCTTGTATCTGATCTTTGGTCCCTTTCTGGTGCACTTGCACTTGTAGGCTGCAGAGAAATCAAACACACACAATTCAGACTGACACAAGTAACACAATGAACTTGTAATACTGGGGGTTTAAAACATAATGGAAACTGTCTTTTGTCCGACAAATGAATACAGTTAGACTAAACACTACCTCTACAGACAGGAGGTAGGTGTGATTTGACTGTATATTTAATCATCAAAGGCTTTACAAAAACGGCTCCTAACAAACTCCTTAGTTCATGTACAAAATAGTACAATAGGTCGCATTGAAACATGTTGAAAATAAGAATAAATACATAATTCAAGGCTGAATGAGAATTAGTAGGTTTTGTATTCTAATTTGCATGTAAAACGTTTGCAAATGTTGTACTGAACATACGTTTAAAGCCACTTCCAAATACATGTTTGTCCAATTATCACAATAGCAGTGTATCCAATGCAGCAGTTCACACTGAATGGATTCAAGGTAAACAGAGAGAACCTGTGGATTGAATGGAAAAAACCCTCTTCATTTTACTTTTGGGTAACACACCTCTTAGATATTTGTATCTACATTTGTTTCAGCCTAACACCTTCCTGCAGGTTTCAAGTCATTGTGACTTTACGCTGCAGAATAAAGGCAGAGGAAATTAGTTTTTCCTGGTTGTATATCTGTGATGACGGGTGATGACCTGGATAGTCCAAGGTTTCTTTCATCCATCACGTCTAACTGTCCTCACCCCGACCACTAAATCTGTCAGGATTCACACAGACACCCGGACTACACAAACTCATAATACTGAAGGTTATGTATCCATCCTGTGTGTTATGGTTTCTAATTCTAACCGTATATAACATTTTGGTATGAGCCTCTCTCTTCTTGACTGTATATCCTGCCATGTAGTTAATACAGAGTAGCAGAGTGAAAGTTATTGGTTTGTTGGTTTCTCTTGTTTTTGCTCAACACTATGAAGTTGGTTGAGTGCATTTGAGCAATATCTGCTTTCAAAAGAGCTGACAAAGACAGAAAATTGCCCTTGTAAACACATGCATCGTTTTTTTCCTTAAAAGTTGTTGTCTTCCTCTATGTATATTTCAATAATGTTTAAGTTTAGCAGGTGTTTTAAGTACAACATTTATTTTTCATTAAATATGTTATTCACAAAAAACAACAGCCCCCCCCCCCCTCCTCCTCCACATGGCCCCATGAAAACTGGCTTTAAATTGTTTCAGTTACATGGTGAGTTTCTCTTGTCCTGCCAGAAAAACAGAGTCCCAGAGAGGTGTTCAGGGGAGAAAAGGCTTGCTGGGTCAAGGCTCATTTTGAGACCATAGTTTTCAAAGTACAATAATATGATGTAACCTGTGATATGGTATTCATAATTACTTTTATAAAAGTGTATGGTAAAATAAGGCTGTTCAAAGAGTGCTGAATTACAAGTTTGCATGCAGCAGGTGGCATATTATCAACATAAAGTGTTTTTGTGAGCACAAGTATGCAAGTGAACAGACTGAGACACTTAAGCTAGGCTGTTGTTTTCCAAAACTGTGCTGGAGATTTGGGGATCTTTGGCATCAACTTTACTCTTGTTTTAGAATAACTCTGGATGGAAAGACTAGCCTACTTTTAAACGTTCATGCACACAACAACAAAGTACATTAGGCAAATCTGTCTCCACCCAATCTTTGCTAGTCAGTTACATCACCACATCTTCCATGCAAAACACCTCCAATTAAAAACAAATATAAACTTCTACTAAAATTGAACAAAAATAACTTACCTTCTGCGCTAAAGACGTATAAGGCCACCACTAACAAAAGCAGCACCACCGTGCACCGATGCATCTTCAAAGGTAACAAACAAACAAACAAACAAACAAACAAACAAACAAACACAAATGTTTCTTTAAAAACAAATTCCTAAACTCAGATTCCTCGAAAATCAATCGACAAAAGTCTTTCGAAATAAAATCCACATGCAGTGTCTGTTGGGGTGCAGAAGTGAAGGAGCTGAGGAGGTGCTTTCTTTCAGTCTCCTTGGAGCTGATCGGAACTCCGTCTGTGCGTCCTGAGCCTGGATGAACCTCCTGTCTCCTCTCTCTCTCCTCTCTCTCTCTCTCTCTCTCTCTCCTCCTCTCTCTCTCTCTTCTCTCTCTCTCTTCTCTCTCTCTCTCTCTCTCTCTCTCTCTCTCCTCTCTCTCCTCTCTCTCTCTCTCTCTCTCTCTCTCTCTCTCCTCCTCTCTCTCTCTCTCTCTCTCTCTCTCTCTCTCTCTCTCTCTCTCTCTCTCTCTCACGCCTGCTCTTTTAAAAGCAGCCCGCTGTCACTTCCTCATTAATATGCACGGCCAGACAGCGAACAAACACTTGTGGCCGGAGAGGGAGAAGTGGAGAACAGGGAGAGGGACAGAGGGAGGTAGGAGGGGAAAATTCGCATATTGTTCCCCAAAAAGAGGGTAGAGTGACATCTGCTGTGGTGGACCAGTTTATGTTGTAACCATAGGTTGTAACAGATCCGCTTCTGTCCTGATTAAAACTGACGGTAACCTTATCCGGAAGTGGAGCAACGTCATAATAGGAACATTGGCTACATTGCACATAGTTTGAATGCAACAACAACAGAATGTATTTGCTCTATTAGTTGTTTTTGTGTAGTTATGTTGGTCAACACTTACGGCACACGTTTTGACAGAGTTAATGAGTTTTACATTATATCTTTGATAAGTCCAGGTTTGGTATCAGTTCATTAGCACTTTGCGGGGTTACCATGGCCACATAGAATAGTCGTTTCTGATTGGCTAAAGAGAGAAGATTGCAAACGTAATAATTTAACATCCAAGGTTCAGCCACATTTTCTGAATGGATATTTAGTTGAAAGTTCATTATAGTAAGTAAATATGTAAGGGGATGAAGTGCAGCGAAGCGGTCATTGATTAAAAAAGAACGACAGGTGGATCATGGAGCCCGAGTGAAGTCTGTTCACAGTTTCTGTTCCACTAACAAGTCCTTAAACAATCCCAGAGCAGCCAATACCTTGTCCCTGTCAGTGTTTACCTCCCGTCTGTCTTCTTCTGTTGATTTATCTGACATCCAATGCTCTGCCTTTTAACCTATTTCCTTCTATACTTTGATCCTCCTTAGCAACAATGATGTTATGCTCACCAGCGGTGTTTTATCGAGTATTAATAACCTGAGGGAAAAGTAGATCAGCAGTCTTTTTCATAGAAAAATCAACATATGTACTCTGCAAATGTTGACTAGTTTAAAAGAAGGATATCAGAAGTATTGTAAACATATGTACAAAATAAGTTTAATTTTATCATTATCTCACACAAAAAGTAACAACATATACATTTTTAGTTGAAGAACCTAACCAAACTTCCTAAAACATTAAGAATCTCCTTTGAATAACCAATCATATAATCAATAATGAGTGTCACTGTATTGTGTGAAAGTGAATAAAAGCCACCATTGTATCTGAGGATGCCATCAGGCTGAAACAGTAAGAGATAGCCCTGAGAAGAAGGTCTGACCCCACCCACCTGGGACACTCTGACCACAGGATTAAACAGGATTCATCACAGTCCTGCATCGTGTGTGTGTGTGTTCACCTCCCTGCCCTGAACTCTGATGCAATCAGCTGCTGTCATTACTCAAACCAGTGGCCATGAAATGTCTGTCTGCACCATGCATTTAGTGTGTGTGTGTGTGTGTGTGTGTGTGTGTGTGTGTATACAGTTTGTTCATGCCCTACATATTCATTTTTGTGTGTGTATGCACGTGAGTATGAGCATATTTGTAAATGCTGATGCCTGATCAGCGAGGAATCAAATGGAAATCTGTCTTGACTTCAGCGCCTGTCTTCCCTTCCTTTGGTGCTCTGGTTAAGCAGCAAACATCAGTAGGACATTTACTGCCAGCTGTGAGAGATTAAGATATATGTGACTGCTGCAGGACACTGATGCTGCGTGAATCCATCTCTACTCATTTTGTTCTGAAGATAAAAGACATCGGTGAGCTGTCTGTTCCAGTCTTCAGCTGCAGGGACTGATAATCAGTCTGACGTCTGTTGTCTCCATCCATTAGATCACTGCAGCCTCACTGAATACTAGAGAAAGGAAATAAATTGTTGTTGAATAAATACAGAGGATTGCATCCTGAAGGAATCTGTCTTGAAATGATGACGAAAATGACATCACTTTAAAGAAACGTGTAATCAGTCATGGTGCTGGTTCAGAAAAAGGTTTTGAAAATTCCGAATTGCAGAACATAACGAGGATTATCTCAATACTTGAATATATGTATATGTTTGTTTCACAGTATATATTGCTGTCTGTTGCTGGCGAGGTGTCATTTTAAAAAACACAGAAAAACTCATGTTAAATCTTTTTGGCAGCTTGAGGCATCAGCGAGAAATTGAAAATAGATCATTGTCATTTAGCCAATAAACACTTCACATCCTGACACGTTGCAGAATACAAATATATTTCCATCACTTCATCAACTGAGACAGCTGTTTTGTGAAAGTGGTTGTCAGAATACTTTGGGTTAGCTGCGAGTCTCTCTAAGTCTGTCAATATGAATTCATCACAAAGAGAAGGACTGCGTGCTGGACTCCATCTGCCTCTCCAACCTGCACAGTGTGTAGTGGCTCTAAGTGCACTTGGCAGCGGCGTAGGTGCAGAGCTAATTCACAGGAAATTGCACAGTTTACCCCAAAATCAAACATGGCAGAGGGGGTGTAAAATGTGCTGGGGCTGTTTTACTTTGTAATGATGTTTGCGAAAGATGTGAGGAGAGACAGGAGAGTACATTGTGAGTGATGTGTTTGCAGCCAGACAGAGTGTCTATATATAAATACAGGCTGCAGTCTAACTAACACACACAAAAACCTTGTCGGGCTGATTATAACCATCAGTGCATAATCTCTGCATGCAACTGCTGCGAAACAAAACCCATAATTAAACTACGATTACGTTTTTTTATGTCGACATTGGCGCCCCCAGCACATGCAATTGTTCAGGAAGCACAGGGAAAAATAATTTTTGAAAACCATATTTCTTAAAAATATATGTTGTGGTTATATGTTTTAAGAAAATGGCCAACTAAGGATCATTATATCCCACAATTCTTTCTGTTTGTGAATGATCTATAAAGGACGACTCTTGTTTTTATCCATGCTACTGTATAACCTCTGTTGTTCAATTATTTTTTCTCCCTGTTTGCTAACCCTGTTGCAGTGTCAGCCATAACCAGAAATTCGTCAACAATAACATGTTGTCTCAAGACAAACCTTTCCTGCCTCGTTTAACTAGCTAACGTAACAGCACTGAAAGTAAAACTAGGCCGTAAATTGTATAGTCTGATTGTGGAGTATTGGACTGGGGACATGCATTATGAATAATTGTAAAGAATTAACCATGACCTAAATCCTCAAAAAAAACAAAACAACTATTCATACATCTTGCAGAAGTCAATTCCAAAGCATCCGAATGAACATCAGGTTAACTTTAGACATGAATGAACAACACCTTCATGAGCCTTATACACTTAATGATGAGGTTTAAACAAGCTAGACTGAACACATATTTTAAATCTATCATGAAGGAAGGATTTCATCTGTCTGAAGACATGGAGGCCGGATCCTCAGGGGCCGACATGTTATTACAGTCTGTCCACTGTGACACACTGTCGTTGGAAGTCAGATGATTTGAGGTAATCTTCACTTCTGAGGGTAGTTTGAGGGCTGAGATTAGAGGGGTAAGTGAGTGTGAGGAGGATGTAAACAAAAACACCTCAAACGTAAAATGACATTAACCTGTGTGAATGACTGTTTTGTTTTTTTTGTAGCAAAGCTTTCAGATAAATCACAGGGCTATCAAGAATAGTTGCTTCAAGTACAATAACAATAATAAAACCCTTGATAAAGTGACTTTAAATCGGTGGAAATTAAGCCTTAACACATGTAAACATGTAAAATAACAGGATGTAATTTATCGATGAAATGTCGTATTTATCTACACGATTTTCCAATATTTTTGCAAATTAGCTTCAGATAGCCCAATATCTATCGTATAGTTCAACTTTAAAAAAAAAGGTATTTGCATGTTTGTTTGGGTTTCTGTCAGGAGCGTCTGTTCCCACAGGACGTTGAGAGAAAAACAACTCTGAGATTTGCATGCAGACAAGTCAGCTCGTGGACAGACAGGGAGGTAGGTGCTGGAGGTAATTGCAGAAAAATAATTACGCTCTATACTAGGGGTTTCACCAACTAATCGACTAGTCGACTACCTTTACCACTAGTCGGCGCTGTAGGCCCTAGTCGACTAGTCGTGAAAAAAAATGGAGGTAAACGAGGTGCTGCAAAATGCTTCAAAACACGTCCGACATTCTTATGTATGGCAGTACTTCAACAAAGATGTAACCAACTCCACAGTGAAGTGTCAGTTGTGTACAGCTGTACTGAAGTATAACAAAAATACATCTGCTATGCGCAACCATCTGAAGATGAGACACCCGCTGCCGACAGCTAGCACTAGCAGTAATGCTAGCACCAGTGAGCAACGGACCGGCGTCAGCACAGGACAGGCAGACGAGCAGCAAGAAAAAACGGGTCTACAGTGATGCGGATGATGAGCTACGGGTTTACTGCCAGCGGACACCGCATATCCCCACAATGAACCCACTGGAGTGGTGGGCAGAAAACGTGCACCGCGTCCCCCGTTTAGCCAAGCTTTCGAGGAGCTACCTGGCTATTCCAGCCACAGGCACCCCGAGTGAGAGGGTTTTTCCCCTGGCAGGCAACGCTGTCACCCGAAAGCGGTCAAGCCTCCTTCCCTCACATGTCGATGCGTTGGTGTTCCTCAACGCAAACCAAAAATCTGGAAAGGTGGACGTTATCGTGGAGGACAGCGAGTAAAGTGTTGCGCACTGGATTTACGTGGCATTTCAGTAAACAGAGTTTTTTGCTGTCGATTTTGGTGAGTCCAGTTACTGTTTGTTATTTACTAAGTCCAGTTACTGTTTGTTATTTACTCAGCCATGTAACACAAATTAAAATGCAGTGTTTAATGTAACTGTATGAGTTC